GCCTAGGAACCCAAGCCTTTGGGACTTTCTTACTGCATTCTCCCTTCTCCCTGCTCACTCTGTCCCACCCTTTGGGGTCCAACCGGTGCATCTGCACACCAGTCTCGGCCCCCTCCCACCTGCCTACCTGAGGGGAGTGACCCTAGCCAGAAACAGATCACCCAATCCCCAAACCATCCCTGTCTCTATCTCTCCTCATCTCTCTGTCTCCCTCTGTCTGTCTCTTGCTCTCCCCCCTCCGTTTCCCTCTCCCTCGATCTCTCCTTTCTCCTCACTGTCTAGCTCCTCTTCTCTCTCTCTGTCTGCCTCTCCTCTCTAGCTCCTCTCCGTCTCCATCCTCTCACTGTCTGTCTCTCCTCCCTCCCTCCGTCTTCCCTGTCTCCCCCTCTCTCCTCGGTCTCTACCCTGTCTCTATTGTCTCTCTCCTCGTCTCTCCCCTCTCCCATCTCTCTGTCTGTATTCCTCTCACTCCTTTCTCTGTCTATCTCCATCTCTCTATGTCTCTGCATCTCCTCTGTCTCTCCGTCGCTCTCTCCACCTCTCCTCTCTCCCCATCTCTCCTCACTCCTCCTGTCTCGTCTCACTCCTCTTTCTGCCTGTCTCCCTCTTCTCTCTTTCTGTCTCACTGTCTAGCTCCTCTCCCTCTCCGTCTCCATCTTCTCTGTCTCTCCTCTCCTCTCTGTCTCTCCTCACTCTGTGAGGGAGGGAGATGCGAGAGAGGAGATAGAGATGGAGGGAGAGAGAGACAGAGAGACACAGAGTGAGGAGATACGAGAGAGGAGAGACAGAGAGACTGTCTCTCCTCTCTTGTATCTCCTCTGTGTCTCTCTCCGTCCCTCCTCTCTCCCATCTCCCTTTCTCTGTATCTCCTCACTCTGTCCCTGTGTCCCTCCTCTCTCCGTCGCCATCTCCTCCCTTTCTCTCATCTCTCCCCATCTCTCTCCTCTCCTCTCTGTAATCATCCTTTCTCTGTCTCTTCTCTCCTCCTCTCTGGTATCTCCCGTCCTGTCTTTCCTCACTGTGTCTCTCATCTATCTCGGTCTCTCCTCTCTCGTATCTCCCTTTCTCTGTCTCTCCTCACTCTGTGTCCCTCTCCATCTCCTCACTCCATGTCTCTCCTCTCTGTCTCCATATCCTCTCTTGTATTTCCCTTTCTCTGTTTCTCCTCTCCATCTCCTCTCCTATCTCCCTTCCTCCGTCTCTCCTCACTCTGTGAGAAAGAGAGAGAGGAGAGACTGTCTCTCCCTCCATCTCCATCTCCATCTCCTCTCCTACCTCCCTTTCTCCGTCTCTCCTCACTCTGTGAGAAAG